GGTGTTGTCAGTATAGAACTTCAACACGCCAGAGATTAACTGAATTAGAGATAGGGCAGCGGCAGGTACCAGAGGTGGACTGCTTCTAGAGTGGCTACACTAGCAGGCGTTATCACAACACATGCGACAAGCCACCCGGTTTAGAGAAAATGACAGGCCGTTTATACTGGATCTAGTGATCAAGAGAACCCCTATGGACATAAGGACAATTACCCACGAGGAGCCTTTGAGAAAAAAGCAAACATGTAGTCCTGCGAGAATGCTAGAAAGCAGACGCGCCAAACCGGCGGCCAAACTAGGGAGGAGATATGGAAAAATCAAGCAGGAAGAACTGGTTAGAGCGCCACAGATTATAAACTAGGTACCCAACCCAGCCGATGCATCTCTGGAANTCAAGGCAAGACTTCTCTTACTCACGGATAGGTTCGCGCCCTGGTTCCGTTAACAACAAGCAACGTCCTCCTTGGTAGAAGGCTAATATAGATAGGGCTTTAACCATTCGTAGAAGACGGTGGGCAGTCTATAAACTGTATTGCACTCATCAGTCGTGGAATGGTTACCAACGGGTGCGCAACTATGCGTAGGGAGTGCAAAGAGAGGCTAAATACCAATTGGAGACTAACTTGGTGCTAAACGTCAAGCGAAATCCTAAGTGATTTTACACATTTGTCCAATCTAAGCAAAATACTCGGGAAACGGTTGCTACTCTATAATCGTCTACTAGAGAATTGGCAGTGAGGGAAAGCGGTAGAACACGTATCTTGTTAGAGTTCTTCAAACGCACGTACAGGATCGCCAGGGTGACAGATGGCCTTCCATCAATCGAAGGTAACAGTACCATGCCTCCAATCATTGTGGAAGTTCAGGATGTGCAGCGGGAGTTGACCAAGCTCAATAGGTTCAAGGCGGTGGGGCCTGACGGAATTCACCCAGCGATTGTACAACCACTGGGTGATGTCACAGTGGGACCGATCTTCGAATTATTTAAAGAGTCGCTTAGACTGGGAGCTGTCCCGAACAACTGGCGCAAAGCCACAGTAGTGGCAATACACAAGTCTGGATCCCGGCAAAAATCCGAGAATTTCAGACGTGTAAGTTCGACATCAGTAATATGTAAGTGTTTGGGGCGCCCAGTTAGAAGGCAAATATGCCAATTCACGGTCAATAGTGGGCTTTTGGTACCAGCTTAGCACGGATTTGTTGAAAAGAGAACTTTCCCGGCAAACCTGCTGATATTTCTAGACGAGGTAACACGGAGAATGCATGAGGGACTACCGGTGGAGGTATGCTATCTGGAATTCCAGGAAGTATTCGACTCGGTCAGACACCATCTTTTGGAGCATAAGATGCAATTATTCGGAATAGGTGGGCAGGGTCAAGAGCTGGATAATGGGATTTCTTGAGCGGCGGACGTTTAGTGTCAAAGTAGGAGCTCACACATCCGAGGAGGAGGTGGTCACAAGCGGTGTACCCCAAGGATCCGTACTCGGACCACTGCTGTTCCTGCTCTACATTAATGACTTAGTACGGGTCTCCACAAACCGTGTTTTCTGTTTGCAGATAACGTTAAGAAATTTGGATAGGATCTAGCAAGGGACATAGAGGTAGTAAAAAGATGGATCGAGCAATGGGACCTACCACTAAACGTCTCTAAATGTCAGATACTGACTACCAGAACTGACAAAGAGACGGCAAGGAGCCTGTCGATACAAAGGGTGCAGAAGGTAAAAGATCTAGGCGTAGTGGTTACGCGGTATTTCAAATCCAGCACCCAATGTGGGAAGGCCGCAAACAAAGCCAGGGTACAACTGTTTCTTCCATGCGCAACCATGACGTGCAGAAAACCCGAGATCATTGTTCCCCTATAAAAAAGCGTCGTCCACCCGCATCTGGAATATTGTGTGCAGGCTTGGGCTCCGTGCCTTCGAAAGGACGTTGATACCTTAGATAGGGTTCACCGTCTAACCACGAGGATGATAGCTGGGCAACGGAGAAAAAGCTATGAGCAGAGGCTCAGAGATTTAAATCTGCTTCCCTCAAAAGGAGGCGGATGAGAGGAGACCTCATCGAGATATTTAAGATCGTCAAGGGTAAGTCAGGTATTGATTTTGACCACCTGTTCTTCTGGGTTTCGCATAGAGGCACGCGGGGACATAACTTACGTTTGCAGCGAAGCCACTCTAGGCTGTAACTGAAGGCAACGTTTTTCACTAACAGAGTAATTTCGCTGTGTAACCGGTTGCCGCTGGCAATGGTAAGCTGCAGTCCCGCAGATCCGTTCAAAAAGCCACTTGATGAGTGTTGGTTTTCCTTCAGATAACCGTTTAGTACGGATGATAATGCCCACATCTGCTCGAAAGGACCGATCGGAAGATGTACCTACTCAGGTGGAGACCGATAAGGAATTGTGGGTTACGGTTGCTTGTAGGGCCAATATAGCCCTTGTCTCCTCTACGGTGCCTTAGCGACTGAGGGCCAAGAGTATGCCGGCAACAAAACACGAAAAGAGCCCTCGGGTGGGTTGCTTGAGTGCGCATTAGACTCTAGTGGCACCAATCCTAAGAGGGGGCTTGGGACGGAGGGTTATTGGCATTCCACACGAACGCCTGCACCATAGGCAACAAGTGGAGAGAACTGAGAGCCAAAGTCGTAGGAACAGACTGTATTGTGATTGCTGAGACGAGGCTTCACGAGGCCATCACAACGGAGAGCCTTCAAATCACCAGGCACTGCGCGTACAGGTGGAGGTGGCACATCGGTACACCGATTCAGCTTGAAAGCTGTATCTGTGGAACACATTCCATCTTGGCTTCGTGAAATATACATTATTATTATTATTATCATTAATTTGCCCATTGACTTGTGACATGCTGTCTCTTCCCTTATCCCTTCTCAGCTG